TGTTGAACAAACAGAGGTACTGGTGGTTTTCCCTACTATCCTCCCACTGAGAGTTCACTTCTGGTTGGGAGACAGGATTCCTAGCACCTCTGGTGTCAAAAGGCTGTTTGGGGTTGTGCCAATTAATTACCAAACATTGAGCCTGTGGGCTTTAAGTGGGAGTGTTTATCCCTACGAGCCTTATCTCAGCCAATTACCTTTCTTGACAGTAGGAGCGGCTTCCCTCTCCCATTCCTTCTCTTCACTCCCCATCCTTCTTCCCCTGTCCTTCATCCCACTGCTTTCCCATTCTTCTTTCTGGGTGGTAGGGGAGATTGACTCCCTGCTCAAGGACACTCCCTATTGGGCATAGGACGTGCCTACAAAACGTTCCCTGAGCCTGTAAGCACTCCAGGTGGGGAAGTGGACAGGAGCCATCGGTCATAACCAGACAGAATTTGGATAAGTTTCTGTGAAGCTCCACTGAGAGTTTTAAAGAAACATATGTAGCATGATTTTTTAGGAGAGGAAAAAGATTATTTAAATAGGATTTGAATCATGCAACAACCAGAGTATCACAGCCAGGATGACCCCTAGGCCCCATTGCTAGGACATGTTACTTTACTTTCCCCTTGTTAAGACATAGGAAGACTTCATTTTTAAATGGTCAATGTTCACTTGAAGGCAGAACACTAATCAGATTTCAAGGCCCAAAACTGGGGACTAGGCCACCTTGTGTTGAGGGATCTCTGCCACCTGTGCGCAGTCCATGGATAAAGTAAATTTAATGACACTACTGCCCTGATTACTCCTTAGGATATGGTCAAAACAGCATCAAATGTTTCTTCCCTTCTTCCCCCAAGACAGTGTCCTGAACCTGTTAAATTAAGTCATTGGATTTTACTCTGTTCTGTTTACAGTTTACTATTTAAGGTTTTATAAATGTAAATATATTTTGTATATTTTTCTATGAGAAGCACTTCATAGGGAGAAGCACTTATGACAAGGCTATTTTTTAAACCGCGGTATTATCCTAATTTAAAAGAAGATCGGTTTTTAATAATTTTTTATTTTCATAGGATGAAGTTAGAGAAAATATTCAGCTGTACACACAAAGTCTGGTTTTTCCTGCCCAACTTCCCCCTGGAAGGTGTACTTTTTGTTGTTTAATGTGTAGCTTGTTTGTGCCCTGTTGACATAAATGTTTCCTGGGTTTGCTCTTTGACAATAAATGGAGAAGGACGGTCACCCAACTCCATTGGGCCACTCCTCTCCTTCCCCTATTGAAGCTCCTTAAAAGGCTATCTATAGTAGTATCTTGATACAAGTTTCTCCTCTTTCCCATGCTGTCTCTCTCCTTTCTGGCAGTACTTCCAGAGTGGTGAGGGATGGTCATTTTCACAATTCCCCCATCTTTCCTACTTCAGAGTTAGCAACCAGCAAGTTAATGGCAACTTGACATTTTCCATTACCATCTGCCTCATAGGTCACTTCCTTTCCTTTCCCTCTGCCCAGCAAGTCCTCATATCTGCAGAGAACCCATTGATCACCTTGTGCCCTCTTTTGGGGCAGCCCGTTGAAACTGAAGCACAGTCTGACCACTCACGATAAAGCAGGTTTTCCTCTGCCTCTGCCACAAGGTTTCAGAGTAGTGTAGTCCAAGTAGAGGGTGGGGCACCCTTTTCTCGCCGCAAGAAGCCCATTCCTATGGAAGTCTAGCAAAGCAATACGACTTAGCCCAGCACTCTCTGCCCCAGGACTCATGGCTCTGCTGTGCCTTCCATCCTGGGCTCCCTCCTCTCCCATGACCTTAAGAACTTTGTCTAGTGGCTTTGCTGGAACATTGTCACTGTTTTCACTGTCATGCAGGGAGCCCAGCACTGTGGCCAGGATGGCAGAGACTTCCTTGTCATCATGGAGAAGTGCCAGCAGGGGACTGGGGAAAAGCACTCTACCCAGACCTCACCTCCCTTCCTCCTTTTGCCCATGAACAAGATGCAGTGGCCCTAGGGGTTCCACTAGTGTCTGGTTTCCTTTATTATTGCACTGTGTGAGGTTTTTTTGTAAATCCTTGTATTCCTATTTTTTTTAAGAAAAAAAACTTAAGCTGCATTTGTTACTGAAATGATTAATGCACTGATGGGTCATGAATTCACCTTGAGAAAGACCCAAAGGCCAGTCAGGGGGTGGGGGAAACTCAGCTAAATAGACCTAGTTACTGCCCTGCTAGGCCACGCTGTACTGTGAGCCCCCTCCTCATTCTCTTTCTACCAACCCCAAACCCTGAGGACAGGTGAGGAACCCACATCTTTCCTTCTCCTGCCAGCTGCAGATGGTTTGCCTTGCCTTTCCACCCCAATTGTCAACCACAAAAATGAGAACTTCCTCCTGTAGCTCAGCCTTGAGTCCATTGCCAAAATGTCAGCACACCTGCCAGCAACTTGGGGGAGAAGCTAAGGTTTCCCTATGAGAGGGAAAGAAGGCAAACTGGCATAGCTATCTCCAGAACATGTCTGAGTTTGTTTTGAAAGTGACCAAGGGAATCTACGCACAAAAGTGCAGATTGAGGAATTGTGGTGGGTCATTCCCAAGAATCCCCCAAGGGGCATCCCAAATCCCTAAGGAGTAACAGCTGCAAACCTGGTCAGTTCTCAGTGAGAGCCAGCTCACTTATAGCTTGCTGCTAGAACCTGTTGTGGCTGCATTTCCTGGTGGCCAGTGACAACTGTGTAACCAGAATAGCTGCATGGCGCTGACCCTTTGGCCGGAACTTGGTCCCTTGACTCCCTCCTTGGCCACCTGCCACCTCTAGCACAGCCCCTCCCGTTTTTAGACCAATAACAAGAATTAAGGGGAAAGCCCTGGCAGCTATATGTTTCATCCAGACTCCTTTGCCAGGACCCAGCCCACCACCCTGCTTGCCTCTGTCAAACCCCCCGGCCAATGCAGTGAGCACCATGCAGCTTCCTTGATATTAAAAAAAAAAATACAACAACACACAAAAAAACAAAAAAAAATATTTTAATGAATGTATCTTTTTAAAGGACTGACGTTCAATCAAATATCTGAAAATACTAAAGGTCAAAACCTTGTCAGATGTTAACTTTTTGGTTTGGGACTTTTTCTTTTTAATAGAAATCAAGTTGTTTTTGTTTTTAAGGAAAAGCGGGTCATTGCAAAGGGCTGGGTGTAATTTTATGTTTCATTTCCTTCATTTTAAAGCAATACAAGGTTATTGAGCAGATGGTTTTGTGCCGAATCATGAATATCAGTCAAGTCTCATATTCTGAAAACTTGCAACTTTTTGTTTGTTTTGGTTTTCAAATAAATATAAATATGATATATATAGGAACTAATATAGTAATGCACCATGTAACAAAGCCTAGTTCAGTCCATGGCTTTTAATTCTCTTAACACTATAGATAAGGATTGTGTTACAGTTGCTAGTAGCGGCAGGAAAACGTCAGGCTCGCGTTCCTCTGATTCCTGAAATCCGGGAAACCCAAACCCTAAAGGGATGGTAAAACAGTCCATTCCTAGGATCAGAGAGAAATGCAGAAATGGTGTCACCTGGATTTTTTCTGCCCATGAATGTTGCCAGTCAGTACCTGTACTCCTTGTTTCTCTATTTTTGGTTATGAATGTTGGGGTTACCACCTGCATTTAGGGGAAAATTGTGTTCTGTGCTTTCCTGGTATCTTGTTCCGAGGTACTCTAGTTCTGTCTTTCAACCAAGAAAATAGAATTGTGGTGTTTCTTTTATTGAACTTTTAACAGTCTCTTTAGTAAATACAGGTAGTTGAATAATTGTTTCAAGAGCTCAACAGATGACAAGCTTCTTTTCTAGAAATAAGACATTTCTTGACAACTTTATCATGTATAACAGATCTTTTTTTTTTTCCTTGTGTTCTTCCAAGCTTCTGGTTAGAGAAAAAGAAAAAATAAAAGGAAAATGTGTCTAAAGTCCATCAGTGTTAACTCCCTGTGACAGGGATGAAGGAAAATACTTTAATAGTTCAAAAAATAATAATGCTGAAAGCTCTCTACGAAAGACTGAATGTAAAAGTAAAAAGTGTACATAGTTGTAAAAAAAAAAAAAAGGAGTTTTTAAACATGTTTATTTTCTATGCACTTTTTTTTATTTAAGTGATAGTTTAATTAATAAACATGTCAAGTTTATTGCTGCACATGGTTGAGCTTCCTTTGGCCTTGGTGGGGGGGGTTGGAAAAGGTAGGGGTGGGAGTGGGGGCTGTCACCTGGTTACAGAGTACCTTTCACAGTCCTTTTTTTAAGGTGGAGTCATTAAATGAATCCCCATAGCCTACCTTCAAGTCCCACTCCACACTGGCTCTCTTGACCGTATTTTCTTCTTTTATTATCAGTGACATATGTTCAGGACCTAATTAATTCTGGATATGAGGAAGAGGTCAAGAAGACAAAGGAATAGTTTCTTTACCTTCTATGTACCCCCCCTCTTTTAGGTCAGGCAGTGGCTTTTCACAGTTTTCTCTTAAACTACGAATCTATACTCAAGATAGTCATTGGAATAAAGACGTGTAGACCCTGCACCACTCCCACGTTTATCCCATACCAAATTTCCCTTTAAAAAACTCACAGTAAAATGGAAAATAAACATGGTTTTGGGACATTAATCTGCCATCTTTTAAGGTTGCCAGTCTTTGAATAAATCCTCTTTTTCTTCCAACCAAAAAAAAAAAAACACAAAAAACTACAAATCTAATACAATCAAAGCATTTCTGGGAGAAGCTAAAGAGCACCTCCTCTTAGATCCACTTGCTCGTAAGGCTGAAACTGGATTTGTTTACTCCGTGTTTCTCCTGGGGGGAGGGGCAGTTAAGAAATAGTTGTAAATATTCTACCAAGCCAGGGTCACTAACCCCAGGCCACAGAACTTACTCTACAGCCAAGAAATTGGAGGCTTTCCTCATGAGAGGGTGGTCCTCAAACAGCACCTCCTACTTTTACATCACCGCCTGCCAGAGGCTCAGCCTCTACCCCGTCCTCCCTCTTCTCAGCCTGAGTCGCATTTGGGGATTTTGGAGTTGAGCACCATGGCGACTCCAAATGATCAGGCGGTGTTGCAGGCCATCTTCAACCCTGACACCCCATTTGGAGACGTTCTTGGGTCGGATTTAGGAGAGGAAGCAGAAAAGGAAGAACTGGAAGAAGGTGAGTATTTGACCTGGAGTGTAGCTCTCCACAAAGGCTGGCCTGCTGGCCTTGTGAAGGAGACAGAGGGAAATGGTCTTAAGGGTCCCTTGTTCCACAACCCTTGGAATATGATTGAGCGTGGAATCAGAGGTTGCCTAGTCCTTAGTGCACACTAGTGGGGGTTTGGTAAGAGACATTCTACAGCTGGGCACAGTGGCTCAAGCCTGTAATCCCAGCACTTTGGGAGGCTAAGGCAAGAGGGATTGCCTGAGCCCAGGGGTTTGAGACCAGCTTGGGCAACTTGATGAGACTTCGTCTCTACAATATATCAAAAAACTAGCTGGACATGGTAGCACACGCCTGTAGTTCCAGCTACTTGGAAGGTTGAGGTGGAAGGATTACCTGAGCCCAGCGGTCGAGGCTGCGGTGGCCAGGGGCATGCCACTGCACTCCAGTCTGGGCGACAGAGTGAGACTTAAACTTAAAAAAAAAAAAAAGGATGTTTTACAGAGGAGAAAGCCAGGGTTTGTCTCTCAGTCCGTCAGCTCTTGCACTTCTGAACTTACCACTTAATTCATTCCAGGATCCAAGCTTAATTGGGTCGGGTGATAGTATGATATTAAACTCTAATATTTTGTCATAACAGAATTATCACCTCCCCCACCAAGAGTGGAAGATAGAAACAGGGCAGGGGATAGTGGCTCAGTTGAGTGGTTCCGATATAGCAAGCAGAACCAGCATTTGTTAAATTCCATCACGAGTCAAACACTGAACTAATTCTTCTGCAGAGAGTGCATTCCCTGCCTTTTCCACTGGTCCCTAATGGAGTTTTTGATGTCCTTTGTTTCTAGGGGAGTGCAGCCTGAGCCTTGCTATACTTCAGGCTGAAAAGCTGAGGGATATACATCAGACGTGATGTTTGTGACCTGGGAATGTCACGGTGTAAGAGGCAGGGCAGTAAAGCAAAACGCCGACAGGCTTAGGTGCCAGAAAAACCTGGGTTCAAATCCAAGCTCTGCCATTTAGCTACAAGTCAAGGAGTTTGGGCTTATTCTCATGGCAATAGGGAGCCAATAAAGGTCCCCTTCCCAGGTCCTCTTGAAACTTAAGCAGTGCTAGCTTCCAGTGACCTCAGCGCCCCAACCTAAACACTGCAACTGATCCCTGCTGTGACCCACACCCAGTCAGCTCAGGCTCAGATCTCAGGACTCCAAAGCCTGAGGTGGCTCTTTCTTTTTCCCAACTGCACACTTGTCCCCTCCTGGCTCATTCCCTGGCACAGATGGAGTTTTCCCTCAAGCACAGTTGGAGCAGTCCAAGGCCCTGGAGCTGCAGGGGGTGATGGCAGCAGAGGCTGGGGATCTCAGCACAGCCCTGGAAAAGTTTAGCCAAGCCATCTGCCTGCTGCCTGCGAGGGCCTCAGCCTACAACAATCGAGCCCAGGCCCGGCGACTCCAGGGAGATGTGTCAGGTAAGGATAGATGCCCTGGAGTCTCTGCAGGAGGGGCCCCTGGAGGGCACAGACTAGAGCTAAAGTGGTTGTGGGGCTGAGGAGTCACCAAACCCCTCTGGAGACTGTCTTCTTACCTGAGTTATGATATATGGCCAGATGCAGTGGTCCACACCTGTAATCCCAGCACTTTGGGAGGCTGAGGTGGAAGGATCGCTTGAGGCCAGGAGTTGAAGATTAGTCTGAATAATAGAGTGAGACCTTGCCTCTACAAAAAAAAAAAAAAATTAACCAGGTGTGGTGGTGCAGGCCTGTAGTCCCAGCTACTCAGGAGGCTGAGGCGGAAGGATCGTCTGAGCCCAGGAGGTCAAGGCTGCATGAGTCATGATTGCACACTGCACTCCAGCCTGGACAGCAGCATGAGACCCTGACTCCAAAAAAAGTATGAGATGTATCATGGGCCCTGCTAATCTCAAAGGACAGTCGGAAGAGGTTGCATTCCACTCATTCAAGAGACATGTAACAAGAGCCTACCATGTGGCAGCAGGCTAGGAGCTGAGGACATAGAGATAAGATACATTATTTATTGCTAACATTTATATAGCAGTTACTATGTGCCAGGCATGCAGCATTTTACATACAAGCTATAGTCACTCACTTAATCCTCACAACAATACTTAAAAAGGTATGTAGCATTGTTATCCTCACTTGATAGATGAAGAAACTGAAGCATGGAGAGGTTAAGTAACTTGGCCTAATCATACAGCCGGGACTTGAATCAACAAGCACCTCAAGGAGCTCCCAGAACAGATACATAATTACCATACCAGCAGAACAAGTGTGAGAGGGGTCAGTACGGGACCTATTCTTGAAGGGCGAGTTTTGAAGGATGAGTCGGGGCTGGCTGGGTGAGTGACAGTGCTTGGGAGAAGGCCAGTCTTATAGGCCCAGAAGGCAGGAATAGGTACAGAGTACCTCAGATCTCCAGGCTGGGGGAGCAGCCGTGGAGAAAGGATGGAGGGCTGAGCCCGGAGCAGCAGGCAGGAGCCAGATGGTGAAAACCTTGGGAGTGTTAGGCAGAGATTGGACTGCGTCTTGAAAACGGAATCGGGGCTGGGCTCGGTGGCTCAGCCTGTAATCCCAGCACTTTGGGAGGCCGAGGCAAGTAGACTGCCTGAACCAGAGGGTTCGAGACCAGCCCAGGCAACTTGGTGAGACCTTGTCTCTACAATAAATCAAAAATTAGCTGGGCGCCTAATTACGGGCACGTACTACATGCCTGTAATTCTGGCTAATTGGAAGGCTGAGGCGGAAGGATCGCTGGAGCCCAGCAGATTGACACTGGGGTGGCCAGGAGCGTGCTGAGCGACAGAGTGAGACTCCAACACACAAAAAAAGAAAACGGGGCCACTTCAAGACTTTAACAGGTAAGTGACTAAGTCAGACCTGCTGCATTCAGGTTACTCTGGCCAAGTAGGGCTAATGGGACAGAGGGAACCACGCTGGGGACCAGAAACCAGGCTGATGTGAAGGTATGAACCACAGAAGCCGGGTAGGGAACTACTTGATTGTTAGGACCAGAGATGGTGCAGGTGTTCCTGGGACCAGAAATGCCAGGCCAGGGAGTTTCATTCCAGGAACAGTGTGGACTCCCAAGGGCCCCCTTTTCAGACTTACCTGCCCCAGGTTGCTGGGGACAGCCTGTAGACAGACACCCCAGAGAGGTACAGAGGGGATTCCACCTGAAGAGGCTTTCAATTTTTCCAGACCAGCTCACTTAAGGAGAACCAAGGAACACAGATCCGAGAGTTTCTCAGTAGTTGGTGAGGTGGGGAACATGGCTCCTGCTAGGTTCCAGGAACCACACAAGATCGGAATATCAGTCCCGCTCCAGGATTGTGCTGGAGCTCCCCCAAGTGTCCTGTCAGGTTCTTTAGGAAGCTAGAGAATGCGAGTGAACTGAAGCAGAGCCCAGAAAGCAGCCTGGTGGAACTTACAGAAGACACCAGCTGTCGGGCTGCCTGAGGTTCTGAGGGCCAACCCAAGTATTTTCTGAGAATAATAAAAATAAAAACGGTGCAGGTCAGCTCTGGCTCCAGGACCTTTTCCCAAGGAAATCAGATACAGAATAAAAGAATGAAGATCATGGAGATAATCAAAGAATGATTACAGGTAACCAGTCCAGGAAATAGAGAAGCTCTTCAAACGCAAGCGCCGGAAAAGAGGAAGAAAATAGCCCTCAAAAGGAAAAGAATGAGAAACTGACTTTACTGTATTTGTAAGAAATGTTATACAGCTAATCATATTTTCTTTTCTTAAAAAAACGGGATTCTGAGATGGTCACCCGCACATAGGGGATGACACTTGCAGAATGAATTGCCTGCTACTTGCCTGGGCACTAGGCCAGATTCATAAACACACTGGCCCTTCAAAACCCTCCTGCAACGTTCATGTTTTGGGACATCGGTGGTGGAAAACGCGAGCAAGGCGAGACTGGACTTTAGTTCCAGCTCTGCCACGAAGCTCGGCCGTGCACCCCAGGGCACGCCTGCCCAACCCTTCCTTCCCGTCGGCATCTGCGTCACGGGAATAACAATCCCGACCTCTAGCGTCGAAGGCCGTGCATGGGCAAGACGGGCCGTAAATGGCCGCGCCCGGAAGCCCCGGGACCCCACGGATGCCCGGGTCGCCGGCGCGGACGCGAGTGGGCGCCGCTGACCCCGCCCCTCCCGTCCCACAGGCGCCCTGGAGGACCTGGAGCGC